ATCCATTTACTTAATTTCAGATTTGCTAACGTTTTTATTTAATACGATATTTTAAAAAGATATAATTTTGCTAGCCTCCCTTTTAAATCTACCTTTAATCCTATACATATCTTTAACTATATTAAACAAGATGCTCTTTATAATAACTCTGAATTGTGGGTTCTTTTGCAAGATATGTCTAAAGTTTACAATTAAATGAACATCTTTACTCTTACTACGTCCCTTACAAGATTACACCTTCTATACAAATTTGTTTATAATATTTTGAGATTATTCTTGTCCAAATATAATCAAGTTTTCACTGCTCATGAAAACTCTAATATATATCTTGTTCATTCAGAAATAGATCAAGGTGAAGTTATATCACCACTTTGTGGTGTATTATTATAATCTGCTTTTATACACTATTAACAATTATACATATAGTTACAATATAGAAGTTAAATAATGATCTGATGCTTATCTTTTTGTATCTAATGTTTCTCAATTAAAGATTTCAGCTCTTGCTTATATGAATGACATGCTTTATCTTACCAATTCAAAAATGATTTATCAAATATTACATCTATTGCAAACAGTTTTTTCGCTTTTAACGACATACAGGTTAATTAATCAAAATTAGAACTCTTTGTCAACATTTTACAAAAAGATCCTTTTAAAATTTGTTATGATAGAAATATGTGATCTATTGCTGTCTTTTTTTCAAAAACAAGTGTCAAATATTTAGGAGTCTGGATCTTACTTGTGTCTAACAAAAAGTTTATTTACAATCAACTACATAGCGAAATCAAGAAAGCTGTTACTATCATGAAACATAAACGTCTCACTGATTTACAACTAATTTATATTTTTAATACAGTTCTTCTAAAATTCAAATACAGATCTTAACTTACACTACCATTTAAAGTACAGTGTAAAAGCTTTATTACAACTTATTTAGTATTTGTTAAAAAAACTTATGCTCTCCAAATATACCTTTACAGACTTATTCCACTTGTATTATTTTTACAATTTAACTTCATTATACCAAAGACTTTACAAAATTTTAGCAACACTTTACTATAAATATCTAATAAGTTAAATATTCTTAAGAAATTCTTTTATATACAAACTTTCTAACTTTAACAAAAAGAGTAGCTCTTTGATAATCCTCTTTTTTATTGGCCTTTTCAAAGACTTCAAGATCAGACAATTAGCTTTTGGCTCTTCTCTATATCCTTAATCATATGAATCTAAAACTTTATATATTACTAGCCTTATCTAACAATATTATAGAAGACGTCTTATTAATCTCAGATTTTATTTCTAATATTTACAAAAAACATGCTTCCAGTTTAAGAAAATTCTTTTTGCTTTTTATAGAATAATTAACAAGTAATTAAGATAACTATATGTTTACCTTTTATGACCTTTATACTATAATACATCTAATTACATGTAGTTTTAGAATTTCAGCTAGTTTACAGTCTTAAAACTTTATTTAAATCCTGATGATAATAGAAAATTGTCTGCTATAAACACTTTTAAACATAAATATTATTATGGCTACTCTATCAGACAGTCTACTTTTTCTTTCTAGACTACTGATATTGCTGTTAGGTAGCATTCTCCTTCCAATTCTTTTATCTTAAGAAGAATCACAAGAATTGAGTATGATTCTATTCATTTAATGCATTATTTATCAATGATTGGACCTGAAAACTTCACAATCTTGAATCTTTACAAGTTTTGCCAACTTTACTAAGATTTTGCTATTAAAATTAAAAGGCATTATGATAATTTACCTTTTTATACTCCCTCTCAATCTTTGTGCAAAAATATCAATTATTTTTAAAATGATTACTGTGATTGAATATATAATGTCTTATCATATAGCACTCTTTACGAACTTGCTCTAATCTATTTCTTATCAACTAGTAATCAAAGTTTATTTACTATAATAAGACTGTTCTCTTTACCTACCTTTGTTAATTTTTTTGATAAATTTGTCACCTCCTTATAATTCTCAATTATTAAATCTTTTTCATTCTTTTGCATCTTCTTCCAGAGTTCTATACAGATAGTTTCCTAAAAGATATGAGACTCTTTTCAGTAAAAATAGGCTTAGTTTAGTTTCAAATATATCAAGATTTACTAATAGTTTCCTTCTCCTCTGTTTTTGTTTCATCATTTCCTTCATCCTCAATACCTGAATTTGCAGCTATTTTATTGCCTTACTTACAACCTTTCTAAATTGTAATGTCACTATTTTTACTGACTCAGCTATAGTCATATTTTAATTTAACCACTACAAATTCCTTCTTTCAAAAGCTTTCACTATTTAACTTGCTATCAAAATTAATAATTATATGCATTAGTCATGTCTTTTTGAAATAATAGATACTCACAACCTCATCGTTAACATGATTAAAATCAAAATATACACTGATAATATTTTCAATAATAAATTTAATACTTTAACAAAGTCTTATTTAGATCACTACTGCTTTATTGTTCTGCACAAATAATACTTCCAGATATTATTACACTTATAATAATATTTTGATTATTATACCAATTAGACAGTTTTGCAAAGATCTTTTTCGTGAATACTTCTCTCCAATTTGCTTAGGCTTTATTCTTATCAAAATATATGCAAATTCTTAAAATCAACTGATTTGCTACTTCTTTTGTATTAAATGATAATATTGCATCACAAGCAACATTATATACTGCCTCCTTTCTCAAAAGAATGAAATATCAAAAACTTCTCAAAATATTACCAACCTTTGAATTCTTAAAGTATAGCATTCTTCTTTTTATGATCCTTTACAATTATGTCTACGTTATGATGCTGTGGATAAAAACTTCTATCACATATAGATATGTTCTACTATCAACTATAAAATGAAAAAAATTATCCTTTAATTTAAATCCTATTTGAAAGATATTACTAATATATATAACTATAAAATTGATCAATTAAACTGCTATCTGCTTGATACTTATAATACTGCTGAGTTTTTTTGTTCTCATATAAGGAATTGTCTTAACATGCCTTTTTAAATTTTTTCTTTAAAAATTTACCTCTTAACCTTTAGCCTTAGCTGCTTGCTCTTCATTCATGCATTTAATTTTAAACTTATTTAAACATTTAGTGTGACTGTTATACACTTATTTATGATTTTGAAAAATTTCTCACATTACTTTTGATTCTAAAACTATCAACTTTATTACTTCAGGTTATGATCTTACTTTTAATCATTACTTATTCCTTTAGCTCTTCTCCTATACTCTTTATGGTTCAAATAGGATCTCATTAGTCAAATTTTTAATACAGTAATGATCTTACGTTATTTTATTTTCTTACTTGAAAGGTAATCTTCTTAGCTTAAGTTAGGTTTTAATTTTGGAGGAATGCAGGATCAGTCTTCTATAATTTTAGTCCTAGATTATTTCTTTACAAGATTTTTGTAATTTCTTTTGATTTGTATTTTATTCTATATATTTTACTTTTATAATAAAGATATTGCAAAACTACCACACTTTAAAAATAAAAATTATGTAAAAAGATTAATATGTAATCCCATATACTTTAGTAATGAGTTATTATACATAATTTAGTACTTAGAAAAAAATAATAGATTTGTCTTAATTCTTAGTAAATTTATTAAATTATAAATAATAAAATTTGAAAATTATAAAATAAATAGAAAACTTCCTTTAATAATATACTTATACTATAATTACAGTATTGAAAACCTCTTTAATATGTTAAAGTTATTATCAGAAATTAGCGTTAAGAATCTTTTTAATATGTTAAAATCAATCATTCTATTGTAATATAAAAATAGAAATTTATTGATAAACTGAAAACAAAGGAAACTCAAATAAATAAAAGAAAATAAAAGAAATCATTAAATTATAATTTTACAGATTACAAGAAAATAATTAAATGGAAGATTAGAATAAAAAGAAAATGAAAGAGAAACTAACTAAAAAAAATAATCAATATAGAAGATACTAAAAGAATAGAAATGGAAACAAAAGAATAAATAAAAATATAGAAAGATAATAAATTAATCAAGAAAAATATATGAAATATTATTATAAGAAATTTATGAAGAAGAATGATAAAAGTTTATTTACCAAGTTGGATTCTATCGATAACAATAAAATAATTGAATGGAAGGTTTAATATTAAAAAATCAATCAAAGAAAAAAAGATAAAATAGGAATAACCAAAATAAGATTATAAGAACTAGAAAATGATGAAGTAGAAGAAGATAAACTAAAATAAAAGAAAATTAGATTCTTAGACAAATAAAATAATTTGTAAAACAAATCCTCTTAAAGATGAGTAGCAGAAACTATTCAAAAAGATACAGCTCTTGTTGAAGCTATCAAATTCATAAAATATTATACATTTATAAATCACAGGTTTTGATACTTATAACTCTTAGAGATATAAATTTAGTATCATTAAATTCATTTTTAATAAGATAAATTTAATAAGCTATATTTTATTTACCTGTAATTACTAGAAGTAAAAAAAATTATAAAATATTATGTATAGTAAATATCAATAAACACTGCTAATTTATTTAACACTTTATTTCATAATTATACAAGCTTTGTACTTAAAAATATGAATTTATTACTATTTAATTTATTTTAATGAGAAAATTCTAATAAGTTATATTTTATCTTCATAAAATCACTAAAAATAGTATAATATAAAAAAGATATAGAAGATTATTAAGAAATATATATTTTTTATATATCTTTATTTTTCAAAATCTATTTTAAAGTATATAGAATTAGTGATAAAAAAATTAATAATCACATAATAGATTATTAAATAATTATTATGATACAGTGCAAAAAGATTTGTACACTGCCAAAAAAAAAAGATTTACGCTAAAATAAATATCGTATCACTAAAATAAAGTGGGCTAAAAATTAAATATTTGTTAGAACATAACCAAACACATTTTTTCCCACAAGTTTTTTATCATGCCATGAATCTTCCTTTTTTAAAACGAAATAGCACACCACTGACAGATAACGAAAAATTGATGATAATTAATGTTCACAATTACTTTAAGGGGGATAAATCTATAAGGGAAAGCCTTCAGAAGCTACCATTATGCAAGCGGGTTGCTGAGATATTGGGTGTATCTGAGGGTACAATTGAAAGTGTTGTGTCAGATTGGAACAGCTGTGGTAATAATACATTTACACTACACAAAGTTCTTGGACGACCTATATTAAAACTTGATGAAATGTAGCTAAGCTTTTGCATATGAAGGTTCTAAGTGCTGTTAAGCCTAAACACTACGTCGTTAGGATAACAAAGCTTATTTGCTAACAGTGAGTTTAAATAGTAAACTATGAAAGAAATAAACACGAATTTATTTAAGTTGAAGGGTCAGATCGTCTTTATTGATGATTTGTGTTTTAAGGAAATAGATATTAACAAAGATATAGTTGTTATATTGTTAAGATTATACTTTATTAATTGTACGATTGAAACTTATTAGTTTGTCAAGGCGACAATACAGGATATTTATATAAAATATAATTATAAGATAGAGATAATAAATATAATAAATAAAATAATGATAAATGTTATAATAATGAAAATAAATATCACAATGATAGCTGTGATAGTAGTGAAATCAGTGAAAACAGTGATCACAATTTTCCTGGTAATTATTGGTGATATTAGTTAGCGTAATCATTTAATTATACAAACGGATTATCACTAACAACTTCCTCCTTCAACATCTGAGCTCCTGTGATGGTACTAGCTTCCTATACGAGCTGTTAATGTTATTTACGATTAATACGAGAGAGTATTTCTATAGTTGTATGCTTAGTTCAAGTGATTTGGTCTATTCTAATTAATTCATATAGGTAATATATTTGTACAATACTTTTTGGTAATATAGTGAGAGAAGGTTTATATATTGAGTTCTTTTAGTTAGTGATTCAGTTTTGGTCTCAATGACATTTCCTATATGCTATAAGACTATTAGTATTTCAACTCTATTTCTTAAGCTTTTTGCTCTTCTAAGTTGTCGAAGTAGAGATTTCACTTGTTGTA